CTAGTATGTTGTGTTTTCTGTGTAAACATATTTTTAATATCAATTTGACCACCCTGACCAGAAATCCTGGCTACGGAAGGTGCGGTCCTTCAACTCGGCGATTTGAACAAGTTTGGCACAGGCATGTGCGCCGACTGGTAGACCGAGGCAGGAACTCCACCGACTTCTCATCTCTCCAATTCAAAGTATGATTTCCATCTTCTATTGAAAGTAAGATTTTGCCTTCAATGTCCAAATATTTAATTGTGATTGCCAATTGAAACTTAGAATTGGCAAATTGAAACGACTAACTAATGATTGTTATGGATTCATTCGAGCTGACAATTGATAAATTATTATTTTTAATTGTTAGTGTCGGTGTCAAAACCAGCGGATCTCGGGTAGGGGGTCCCGAACTGTGCGTCTAGGCCGGATGGTAACAGGAGGCAAGGGACACGAAGTTTTACCCAGGTTCGGGCCCTCTCGATGGAGGTAAAACCCTACGTCCTGCTTGATTAATATTGATGATATGGGTAGTACAAGAGTAGATCTACACGAGATCAGAGAGGCTAAACCTTAGAAGCTAGCATATGGTATGATTGTTGATGTGTATGTATGTCCTACGGACTAAAACCCTCCGGTTTATATAGACATCGGAGAGGGTTAAGGTTACATAGAGTCGGTTACAATGGTAGGAGATCTGAACATCCGTATCGCCAAGCTTGCCTTCCACGCCAAGGAAAGTCCCTTCCGGACACGGGACGGAGTCTTCAATCTTGTATCTTCATAGTCCAGGAGTCTGGCTGAAGGTATAGTCCGGCCATCCGGACACCCCCTAATCCAGGACTCCCTCAGTAGCCCCCGAACCAGACTTCAATGACGATAAGTCCAGCGCGCATATTGTCTTCGGCATTGCAAGGCGGGTTCTCCTCCAAATTCCGTGTACCTGTTTGAATAAAGTCCGGTTTCTTATAGATGTTGCGCTCCTTAGCTTCTACGCCCAATAATGGTCGTTTCCCACGTGTCAAACGAATATGAAAAGTCTGATTGTTTTTTCGTTCACACCCCTAGCCGCGCAAATGAGCTGCCCTATTTAAGGGGACGAGGATTTAGATCCAATCACACCTTCTCCCCTCCACGAGTGTTCATCAGAGCGCATCCGACAAAGGTCCATTCCACCATGGCCAGCCGCCGCAACTCCTCCGCTCGCCCTTCCAGCCCTAAGCCTGGATATTGGGAGAGATGTTCCACTCCGCATAGCGAGCTAGTGACGCTCCAGACCAAGGGATTTCTCCCCCCGGCCTATATGGTCCCGGTTCGAGCCGGTCTTGCCGTCTACAATGGCGGAGAGCAAGCAGAGAATGCCCCTAATCCATCCAAAGGAGAGCGGGTGTGCCTTGTCCCTTACTTAATAAGGGGGCTCGGATTTCCCATCCACCCATTCCTCCGGGGGCTGCTGGAGTTCTACGGCCTCCAGCTACATCATCTCACGCCTGCCTCAGTATTGCATATCGCGGGCTTTGTAGCCCTTTGCGAGCTGTTCTTGGGTATCGAAGCTCATTTCGGACTATGGAAGGAGCTGTTTTGCCTCGTGCCCCGTTCCAAGAAAGGGTCAATATATCAAGTAGGCGGAGCCGAAGTATGGCGCATCGCCGGGACCGGATATCTGTCTGGAACTCGAAAGAAGGCGTCCGAAGATTGGCCCTCGGAATGGTTCTATATAGAAGACGTCCCGCTGCCGGATCCTGTCTGGATCGGCCTCCCAGAATTTGATAGTGCTCCCCTGAAGAAGCGCCTAAGCTGGCATCCGCGAAGCCCTCAAAGGGAAAGTGACAGGAACATCGTTTACCTAATGGGTCGAATAAGATTGTTGGCCCATTCCGGATTAACCATGATCGGAGTTATGGCCGAATGCATCATGCGGGGGGTGCAGCCGCTTTAGTATAGAAGCCACCCCATGTGGGATTTCAACGGGGAGGACGACGCCACCCGCTACGGCCGTAAAGGGCCAGATTCAGTTGCCGCTCTATTAAAGATCTTGTCCACTTTGTACAAGGGAGAAGAGGAGGAATTTCTCCGCGTCAACCCACAGGGTGGATTATCTATGCACAATCCCCCAAGCTGGGTAAGTGGTCGCATCTACTTGCTCATCCGTTTAGTGTTCCCATTGTTAAATACTTAGTCAAATGACCTCAACGCAGGAACTACGCCGGGCTGTTAAGGAAATAAGCAGCCCGCCTCCACAACCCGAGGATCCAGGACGGTCTCTCGATCCGGCCTCTCAAGAGGATCCAGACATATCTGTGGAGCTGATTGATGGAGTGTTCCATCAATTGAGCGAGGACAACACCTTGGTGGCCATTACAGCCGATTACCCAGGGCTAATCCCAACGCCCCAGGTACCTGAGATCGAAGTCCCAGTACCCCGGATAGGGGTCCGTCCCTGCGTGTTCAATTTCCTGATTGCAACCGAACTTTGCAGGGGAGGTTGTTGAGGCGGAAGGCCGAACCTGTGGCGACAAGCCAACGAGGGGCCCGTGGGCAGAAAAGAGGTGCAGTCCAGACCGAGGCATCAACGCAAAGGTATGGCGCACCCTTATGTCCCAGTTGTTATACCTTCGAGGCACATTTGACACTCGCTCCCTCTTTAGGACAAAGAGACCTCACCGGACTATATCCGGAGAGGCTGCCAATCGCGCCTCCACCAGCCAGGCTCCAAAGCCTGGTCCGGGGGTGAAGGCGAATGCAAGGCGCATGCCGGACGTTCCTCCGACGGAGGATGTGGACGGGTTGTCTGCCACCAACTCTGAGGTGGAAAGTGCCATGAACCACAGGCGTCGTCGGACGATTCTTCGCGACGCTTGCTTCTCCCAAGAGGTGTTAGATGCCTTCAATTCGGGAGATGCGCACCTCCGTGCCGCTCAAAATGGTCTAGCCAGAGCCACGGAGCAATATGTAAAAGACATACGGGTAAGAAATTTTTGGTAAATATATATGTAGCAGTAGCCCCCGAGACTTGAAACAGTTAGAATAACTGGTTTAAGGATCATTTGATATGCAGGTTCTTACAGAAAAGAATTCCCTACTGTCCCAGGAGCTGGAAGAGTGCAAAGCCCAACTGGAGGCCGCACTAGCCACGGCAGGGGAGCCTAAGGAGGCCCCCTCTGGTAATATACATTTCGATAGATAGGTATTTCGCGAAGCATGGCTTTGGTGCGAATCTGACAAATAAAATTGCAGATGGCGCCGGTTGAATCTGGAAAAGCAACATCTCCTACTCCAGCTAAAGGCTGGTGAGAGGGTGCTATTAAAGGTGATGGGGGAGAAGAACGTTCTCCAAGATGCCAACACCCGGCTGGGCGTCGAGCTGAAAGATGTTCGTGCCCAGCTATCAGACTCCGTGAAGGAGAATCATCGACTTCGGCGCGGCATATTTAGTAAGTGCTTGAACAAACCATTTGAAAGAAAGTTCGGCAGGGAAGTCGACTGACCGAGCAATGTCTATAGGTGTGTTAACAGGTTGTCCGGCGGAGGAGATGCCCGGTTCTACGGGTGACCTTCTTCCCGAGCTCTCGCAACTGCTCGATCGAGTTCGGCAGGCGATGCAAGGCGTCGCCCAGGCCCTGTGGTCATCCGTCTCCATGCCCGAAGGTATTAGAGAGCTTGCGGAGAAGCTAAAGGGAGCACGTCGGCGCTTCCAATTGTGGAAGATATCAGCCTGCCATCAAGGCGCTAGGGAGGCCTGGGCCATGGTGAAGACGCGGTACTCAAAGGCTGACCCCAACCACATGGCCGAGGTCGGTCCTATAGGGCCCGATGGGAAGGAGATCCATGCAAGCTTAGTGTACGGCCAAGTAGAGTTGGCCGCAAAGTACTCCCAGCAGGACTGTAAATTAGACAGCCTGTTAGATGGTATTGAAGAGGAATACAATCAGTCAAAATGACTATGTAATCGAATTGACATTTATAATGCCTTCTAGCCGGATTGTAGATCATTTGTCATGGCCGACCTTTTCGCTTCAACCTCGGGGCCTGATGGTCCGGAGTGTGTCCGAATTCCCATGCGGTTATATAGAAACCGGGGAATGCGTGGAGACCAGGCGTAGGGGTCATTAGTGCGTGAACAGA